AATATCAGACTCTTCTCTCTATAAGAGAAGCCTTACAAACGTTAGGAATACACATACAAGGTCAAAAGAGATCGAGAATAAAATATGTATTCTATTTGAGACTCCTGTATCTCTTGAGATAAACTATGACCTTTTTCAGGCTGTAATATATATGAACAAACGCGCATTTCTGCTTAGTAGTACAATGAATCTTTTCACAGAACTCACTTTCTTCTTCAAGCCCTAACACTTTCTCCTAATCTCATCCTCTCTGGTTAATTATGTAATTTAAAATTGAAATATGTGATATTTGTTAATTTGTAACTAGTGAGAAACTTGTGGAACATTTCTTGTGGAAACAAAGCTTTATTACTTACTTTTGCCTCTTTGTTACCACTAAATATTAAGGTGTGCTAACAGAAGCCTCACACGCATACAACTCTCTCACAACTATTCCTTTACTTATATAATACTGCACAGTAATAATCTCTAAGTCGGTTTGAAAGAATAAGAAAGTTTTATTTTAAGAGACTTTTCTATACACTTTTATTTAAATAGAGTTTTACTGTAAAAGTGAGAAACAGTTTACTACGTATTTGCTACTGATTTAGAAAGCTTGAAGGAACAAGCAAATTTATCATTTAGTGAATAAAATTCCCTTTAAGAAAAAAGGGAAATGTAAAGGAATACACATCTTTAAATACACAGTAATACATATATCGCACTACTATAGTGACAAAATATGAAAAATGAGGATGGTTATTTTAATGAAATCACTTACAGAAATGGTTGCTACCATCAATACTATCCCTCTTAAAAGTACTGCAGTAAGTCCTGGCAGCACAACTGGCCATTAGGTGTCATCACTGCAGCTACGTTTAACATTGGTTTTCACAAGCTTTCAAGTAATACCTACTAAAATATATAACAGTCCTCTCATAAAAGGATAATATCAATGCTGTACCAAACGTATGAAATGATACAAGGGACATCATAATATAATTCAATGCTGTACCAAACATATGAAATGATACAAGGGACATCATAGTATAATTAACATGCTTATTAAAAGTCCACTATAAAGAGAACAATAACTGACAAAATGGTAGCATTTTAATTCTCATTGAGCTTCCTGCCTATCTATTCAGTTAATAACTAAAAGAACAGGCTTTCAGAAGCCAAACATGCAAACTAAGCCTGGGGTTTAGAAGGAGAGTCAGGGATCCCACAGTCACCATTATTCATTTTTAATCCAAGCTCTATTTTAATACCATTTCATCGTCGGCAGGGGAAGGATTTTCAGTGAACCTGTGTAACAGTCCTTACTCACCAATTGTTTGAATAATAGCATTCTGGACAATCCTCTCATCACTCTCCTTGGAGCTTGTGCTGAAAGTGGCACTACCAGCTGAACTGCGCCTATCACCCAGCTCAAAGTCAACGCTGATGCGCAAGTGCTTCAATAAGGTATTAAAAACCTCCAGAACTGTTGGGCCTGGAAACAAGACATAACAATTGATTGCAGCTGTCAAGTTAAGGATGCCTTAAGGAAACAAAATCTAACCTTTTCAATCCCTTTTCAGAAGAAATCGGATTAAGCTGAAAGGAACAAGTGAAATATACTGCTTGAAGGATACGGTCTAGAGATAAACTTTTGAAATATGCTACATGCTGACTTTTTTTTTTTTTTGGAATTATTTTGGAACAAAGAAGAACAATCAGATATATATGCATATTCCATTACTATCAAGTTTTACATAGATTAAAAAAAAGTGGTCGTTGAAATTAAGTATCAGTAACGGGTGCAACTACAGATATTTACGTCTATGCTACAGTTATTTCAGAGCTTGCTATTAAAACCAGTTCCATTCAATGCATCAAATAAAGAGCTCTTTTCATAACATGATAAAGGGATCCCCATTTCCATTTGTACACTTAAGCAGGTCTTGTATAAAGAGAGTAAGGATAGGCTCAGACTCATGCTAATGAGGCAAACCAAAGACACTAAGGAAGAGACCAAGGTGAATAGTTTCACATTCACACACTTATTGGTTACTGAGGTAAAATTTCAGAGAGTTTTCATCATCCTACTCTTGACTCTCACAGTACTGGTTATCTCATAGCAGCTGTATCACAAAGCAATAACCTTCTTGATTTTTTTGTAGTCACATGCAATTCTTAGACTTTGTGACTTCTTACAAAGCAGAAATTGCTGCCTTACACAAGCTTTTAAGATTATATCTAAATTTTTCGATGCAAAGGATTGTAAACCTATTAAAAGTCAAAAGACCAAGCAAGCATACATGTGACTAATCGCAAACTGCCGAATAATATTTCAAGTATGTTTTATCAGCATAAAGAAGAAAAAAGTAAAGAATAATAATAAAATCTGCTTTCATTCCGTGCGAAAAGAAAACCCATTTGACCTGATACCTTAATTTAACGTGACTTACCTATTGATCCTTTAGCAGCTATTGCAACTGCTTCCAAAAGAACTTGAATAATGCCAGCACGGACTCGCGGCAAGTCCCTTTTGCAAACATCAAGGTGTCCAAGTATTTCTTGTATTACATGATGGGAATATTGTGCCTGTTAAAAAAAATATATTGGAAAGTAAAAAAAATAAAAATAACACACACACACACACACACACATCATCTGTGACTTTATTTAGCATAAACTGACATTCCATGCAGCTATATTCAGGACAGTTTTTCTGTTTTGCAACATTCTTACTCACAAATTTGCCTAAATTTCAATCAGTACAGGAATAAACATGAATTAGAAGAACTACATGGAAAGAAGAAGCCACACGGGTTCATCCAGCCCTGTACACAGAAGCAAACAGTATTAAGATATCTAGGAAAGTCTAAAAGATTATGGGAAGCATTCAGCAGTACTTCATTCAGCTAATTGTAGTTCCAGGACTTCAACTGTTCTTAAAAAATGTTGTTATACGAGCTGAGAAAACTCAGCTTTCTTTATTGAATCTGTCCGATCACTATTTGGGAGAACATATGCTTTCGGCATCCACAGCGTTCTGCAGCAAGGCTTTCCACAGCTTTGCTTTATGTTATGTGAATAACAGTCTGTTCTCACTATTATCCCCTAGTTTCATTTTACTCCTGAATAATATGGCCTTACTTGAACCTGACCAGCACCCTTGCACTAATAAATTCCTGGGGGGGAAGAGGGGGGAGGGAGAAAGCATTCCCTACTCACCAACTACAACTCATTAATTTATATGCTTCCTTTCTTCATATCTCTTTTTCTACCACCTCCTTTTGGCTAAACAGTTGTAGCCTCCTCCAATTTTTCCTCATACAGAAACCTTTGATTATTTCTGTCACTCTTTGCTACTCGTTTTCCAGTTCTTTTCTGAAGTGCGGGGACAAGGACTGTACACAGTATCCAAAATTTGGCTCAACATGGAGGCCATACTGATGTTTTCTGCTTAGTCTAAATGTTCCTTCTGAACAGTTCTTAACATCTCTTAACATCTAATCTACTCTTTAATGATTAAGAAGCACTAAAATGTTGTTTCTATAGCTATACTATAACCCAAAGATCTCACTTCTGAGG